GGGGCAGGGGGGCCCAGGTCTTTTCTGGCTATAGCTGGTCTCTTAGGACACCTCCAGACCACTGGATGCTTCAGCCAACTCCTTGCTCCTTATAGCGGTGGCCACTAAAGGAAGTTGGGATGAAACCCCAAAATGTGCTGAATGCCACTGAAGCATATAAAGCTGCACTGGGCCCAGTTATCATTTTGCTAGAAGGGTGGAGATGAATTTCACCCAGTACAGAGGGTCAATTGAGGCCTGCTCCTTTATTTTGAGGGCTTGCCTGGTACCTAGGTCTCATGCTGGTCTTCTGGATGGGAGTGGATTTCAATTCAGAAAGACTCTGAGGAGCCCCCTTCCTGCGCAGGGTCCCAGGAAGCAGTATTTCGGAGCTGCCTGAGCACACCAAGCTGCAGTCCTCAGACTGTGTGCCGTCTACAGCGAACATCACTGTGTTTTCCAGAGTTCATGACACTCCTCTGCTCACCTGCTAGTTCTCTTCTTTCTGCCTGACCCCAGCTTTTGCCATTAGAGCTGGCACTGCCTGGTAAGCAGGCGCAAGCAGGCAGGGGAGGAGCAGGTTGGACCTGCTGTGACTCCACGCCATGCAGTGTTTTTTCTCCTGTGCTGCAATCTCACTCCAAATGTGACCATGTCTCATGCACCCACTAGAGAAAGTAATCAGCCCATACAGAGTTGGCGGTGGGGTGAAGGGGACATTTTAGTTTCTGCTCTAGAGGGACATGAACCAAACCCTCACTGCAGGAGACCCTTCATCTGCAAGATGTTCTTGGCCCTCAGTTCTTTGTCTCAGACCCATTTCTAATTTCTGCTGCCTTCTGAGAACCAGGTGACCTGCACCACAGCTCAAAATAACCATCAGGGGAGTGTAAGGAGAAAGAAGGGGGAAACTCAGGGTGTTGAAGACTACTGTGTCCACATAGTCTATTTTGCAGATGGAAGCTCATCCTGTGCCTCCATGATGGACCCCATAGCCTGAGTCTCCACACCCAGGGACTTGCTTCCACTAATCCATCACAGAAAGCCAAGGCCATTCATCTCTTTTTGACTCCCCACCAAGTGCCCATGTTCACACTTCCCTTCTAGCTCTACACCACCCCTCTCCATTGTTATAGAACAGAAGACACCCCGCTCCAGCAAGACAGCATTCCTGGGAAAGCCAACTCCCCTTCTCCGATAATGCCCAGTGCCCTGAGTGTACAGTCTGGCCCCTACTGATGAAACAGACAAAATGAGAAGGGAAGGGAGGAATGGCCCATATCTGTTACCGTCTTCCTGAGTGGGAGATGCATCCTCTTCCTCCATGACATCATTCCCCTGTGACACAGAAGACAGGCTGTGAATGCTAATAGCAAAGGACTCTCTGTCCAAGGTGCAGAACCTTTGCCTTTCAAACATGTTCAGCCTCCTGTCCAGAGGCTTCCTGGACATGATAGCATCCTTTCCTCTACCCTTACCTAGCTCCCCTGGACACCAGGAGTCATACTCAGGCCCCTCCCACTGAATATGGGCTTGGCATGTACTGTGGGTTTAAACTCAGAGCTGAATTTAAACCAGACACTGAAGAGCCAAAAGGGCAGTGTCCTATCAAGGTTTTAAGGCTGAGGCATACTAGTGACAGGATCTGTCTTTGATCCTGCTCCCATGGAGCTCAATGGGGGATTTTCCATAGGCCTCAGAGAAACAAGGATTTAAGGGATAACCTGATTCCTTTCCCTTTCTATCCCATTTGAATCAGTTTGTTTTACAAATCATTGGAGCCAGCCTCTGAGTTTAGAGAGATGTGGCTGCTGACACAAAGCAATTAAGCGCAGGTTTCATGTCAACGCTAGTGTAAGCTTAAGAGCTTTGTTGAGCTGGGGACAACTGCATTCTCTGATGGGAAATGACTGTACTCTGTAAGGGGAATGTGCCTAGCATCTGCTGGACTGCATTGGTGCAATTCAGAGATGCTTCAGCACAGATTCCTTCACTGCTATACCTAGCACATTCCTGCCCCACACGGGAGACCTGGTGGGTTGCAAAGGGATTCAGTGCTAATGGAAACAGTGGTAGGGCTGAATTGTTTGTGTCCTTCTCTGAGTGTCTATGCCCTGAGCTTTGCATTATCCCAGCAATTTCTTGGGCAATGCATGCCCTACACCACTTAAATTCCTGGCAATTCTCTTTCATCTCCCCCTCAAAGGCTTTCTGCCATAAGATCTCCAGTCCAGGAAGACACATTAGGAACCATTAGCCTCTGACCACCTACATAGAGCCACATGGGCGGGCCTTTACTACAGAGCTAGCTTGGGCTCTGGCACAGCTGTCAACCTCCACGCACAAAAACTTTTCACCCATATGAAGTGGTGCTTTCAACCCAGGTTAATGACCTGACTAATTTGAGCTCCGGAGTAACTATTACCTGGGCTGGTAACCCAGCCACCGGAACCCTGCAGGGTTAAACCATGTGAATGTTGATGGGCTTCTAAGGCCTTCAACCCAGGGGCACAGAAGGACAAACCAGCTCTCCCACAATGAATCGGGAACCCACCAGAGTGGCTCCACTTAATGCAGCACAGGGGTCCGTGAGACACATCCCAGAAGTCTGAACACTACACCTGGGTAAATGCTGTTCCAGTGAATATATAGTAACTTGGGTAGAGCTCTGTGGTGTGGCTGCTCACACCCAGGCCAAGCTAACCCAGGAACTCAGACCTTGGTGCCCATCTCCCAAGTTAATTCTGTGAGGAAGACATGCCACATAGGTCATAGCTGCCTGGTCTTCTACTCTGTGGGCTCAGCCGTTAGTAGGAGATGCAATGCTGCACAGAAATCCAGCGTATTACACAGACATGGCACATCGATCAGGTAGGTGGCAGTTTGCTTCCTTTGAATGTAGTGTTTTACCTCTGCATCTTGCTCCTCCGTGGGGATACTGACAAAGTTTGTATCTGGAGATTCCACAGGAGTTGACTGCAGAGAGGACAAAAGAAATCAGATGTCTTTACTTCCCGGCTGTGCCATGTGTCAATGGAATATGGAAGCTAACACTATCCGCCACCAGTGACCACTCCTATCTAGCTGGGAATGCAGGCCCTGGTAGGATTCATGCTCGCTCCCAGAAAGGAGAAATTTCCCGCAAATGAAGGAAGGCTTACTAACTGACCTATTTCCATGACTTGGTGCTGTATGTTTATGTTAAAAACTATGGATGTCGAGAAAACCAGAGCTCAATGTTCCTTGAGCAAAAAAATAAATAAATTACCATATGTTATTATAATTATGAATGTAATATTACAAAGACAAATGCCTGTGCAACCCAAATAAAGGCTGATTTATATTATAGTAACACCTAGAGGTCAAAACTGAAATCAGTGGCCCATTGTGCAAGGTGCTGTACATATAAAGAAGTGAAACATTCTCTGCCCTTAAAGAGCTCGCTATTTAATTGGGCAAGTCAGCGAATGGGTTGGAGAGGAAGGAAAACAAAGGCACAAAGCACTGCAGTGATTTGTCCAACATCACTCAACAGATCTGTGACAGGATCCTGGTTTCCTGACCACCATCCCAGTACCCTACTCACTGGGCCACACTGCCAAACATTGTTCCTGTCTTCTCTCACCTATATATGAATTGCGCCTGACTGTTACAAAGGAAAGCAAGGGAGGGAGGAAAGGGGAGGAAAAAAAGAAAGTGATCTCCCACCAGAAATGTTTATTTCCACCTATCACTATGAACGCAGACAGTTTTAACATGTTAAACCTTAATCCCTCTAACCTGAAACTGCAACCATGTGCTTCAGTGCACCAGATAAGTCTGCTCCAAGGACATTAACTCTCTAAATCATGGAGCGTACGTGTAACCACTCCAAGATGGGAATCAGGCCAACACTGGCTGAAAAGCCTGAGAGATTAGAGACTCCATTTATAGAAAGTCAGTGCAACATCAGCCCCAAAATCTATTTTTGCAGATGGGGCCTGGGGCTACCAGGTCACCTGGGGACTTCTAAAAATTCTACCCCATGTCTTAAAGCAGAATCCCAGTAGAAACACAGGAAGTGCCTGGTTCTGTTCAATGTGCATAAAGGAATTGCCTGGCTTCTACACAACTCAGCTGTTTAATCTGACAGCCTACTTGGGACAGCGATCAATGCCAGAGGCTGCTTATATAAGGGCATTCTTGCTTACAAACCAATTCCCATCCTTCCCCCAAAATATTGGGCTATAGGGGGAATTTCTTGGTGGTCCCAAAAGAGGATCATCTTAAGGAGCTGACATATCTTGCCTGACCTACCTCTCCTTCTGAAGGTATCCCACTGGCAGCAGCAGGGGATGGGAACATATCCCCCTCTTCCTCTGTGCCAGGAGCAATGTAGGAGCCTGACATGGAAGACACAGTATCGGTGCTGAGCTGGGAGTGCTGACTTTGGGAGGAAGCCATGGACATGATGGACTGGGCCAGGCTGCTGCTGACAGGATCTAGGTAGGAAGAAAGAGGAGAGAATGCAGGGTGCCATTAGGGCAGAACAGTCTGGGCAGCGCTGGACTGCAAGGAACAGTGTGCGACAGGGCTTCTGAAGCCTGGTGCTGATGCCTACAGGCTGGAACCTTTCATCTCCATGCCCTGTGGCCCAGAGACTACAGAGGAGGGAATTCCTCTTCAAAACAAAGAGTCTATGTGATCTTCTGAGGAACAAGCTGCAACTGCATTCAATCCTTGCATCAAGCCTAACTCCTGGGCTTGATTCAGGGATCCCTGGATAAGGGGATCTGTCCTGGGTTCTTCAGGATGTCAAGTCAGGCAACTATAACAATCCCTTCTAGATTTCAGGCCAAATCCTATTCCACTGAATAGACACCCAAGTACAATCCTACTCTACCTTGTTCAAATCACTGAAAAGCCATTAATACATCTATTTTAGTAACACATCATATCAGTCTTATGATTAAGTCACAAAAAGCAGCAAAGAGGAGGACAATCCATCCACATTCTGAGTTAATGGCTTTTCACGGACTTGAGGTTGGTTGAAATCGTATCAGACAGGCTCCCTAATAAGTGGAACAGGAGTCTGTGAAACCTACAAATACTGAGGTTTTATCGTTATATTATCATATTACCATTCTATCATATTATCTTTATATCAGCATGTAGCATATCATTATCATATTATCATTATATCAGCATGTAGCAACTCAAATCCTACTTACCTAATTCAGGCCAAACTTCCCCTGTATCACATCCATAACTAAGGAGAGCAGTGAGCAGGATTAGACACGAGAACTTTGTCATCTAGTTCATCTTGTGAGGTGCCATGTATTCACTGGGTGCTACCATCAGGACATGTGACCACAGTAATTTTCCATGTCCCTTCCAACCCAACATACCTTCTGGGGAGGAGATGGTAGAGGAGAGTGGGGTTCCTGTACATGAAGACTGGTCTATTGCTCCTGAGGAGGACAAGGTGAGGTTCTCACTGTCCGGGGTCATACTGCATTCCTGGAAGGAGAGTGAACACACTAGACTCAGAGGAAAACAAGTCCCTTGAGGGCCAGTCATGGTGGCTTTTCCATGCATTGCACTGTCCTGGGCAGGTTCTGAATTGGAAGCCCTGGAAAGGGAGGTCCTACATTTCTGGACCATAAAGTAAAGTGAGTGTCCTCACAATGCCCTGATTACATACGCGTTCCCCAGGGAGGGGTCTCCAAGGGGGAAAGACTTTTTAAGTCTGCCATTCTACCATTGGCCTTGTTGATCAAACTGTCAATGAGTGCATCAATTATCAGGGGAATTTTCATGATGTGGACACCAAAGGATGGTCAGACAGCAACACCATTCAGTCAATAATGAACTGATGTAGATTTAATACCCTAGATTTTAAAGTGCATTGGAGAGTAGGAACTCATCCATGAGTGATCCTCAAGTTAGGAGGCCACGTATGGGACTATTTCCCACCAGCCAACGCCACCCCAGAACTTCCGCGCAGACAATACCCTTGAATGGATGGAGTACAGGCCTGAGAAGCAGGAACTGTGGAGTGAAATGCCAGCTGTTTCACTGAGTTGCTGTGTGACCTTATGAAAGTCTCTTCTCTTTGTACCACAGTTGCCCAACCCACATAATGGACGGATACCGACCAATTTGACAGGACTACTGATTACTATTAAATAGCAGGGGCTCTGAGTAGGACCAATGCATGTTTTCTCCTTGGAAGGGACTGTGTTAAAAAAATCAGCACCTTCCTACTTAGCAGAGCTGCCTTGCATAAATATTTGAGGTCCAGCCTACTTAGATTTTGCTCCCTTTTGATGCTTTCAGCCCTGCAGAGCCAACAAGACCTCAGGACAGTAAACAATGTCCTTCCCTGACCCTGCCAGCCACATAAATATTCTCTACATCCTACCCGCAAGGTCACCTGGGCATCATCTTCCAATGATGCCCTCTGTGACATCATCTCAGCCCCGTGAAGACAACAGTGATATGTAGGGGTAACTTTGGAAGGACAGCATTGGGTCTGAAGACTCCCAGCACAGGTGGTGACGCACAGGAAGAAGAGAACCTACCCTGGGTCACAGATCTCATTAGGGGGAAAAACAAAAAACCCCCCACCCCTGACTTATAAGCAGAGCCCATTTTACATGGAATCACAGAGGGACAAAGACCTGAAACTGCACAGTGCCAGATTTATAAAGCCTCAGCAGAAGGCCAGGCCTGAGGTAGAAGCAAAACCCTCTGAAATGATCACCTCCTCATGTTGAGGAGGAGACTTCCTCCTGGAAATCCTGATCTCCGACTCACTGCAGGACTTCTCATCATCTTCTTCAGGCAGGACAGAGGAATTCTGGGAAATAGACCTATGAAGGAGGGAAAACAAAAAAGACACCCCTCTTATTTTAAAGAATTTCTCCATGATTTAATGAGTGCATGCCACACCAAAAATATGCTGGCTGGAGCCCAACAGAAACCCCTGTTACAGACCCCCCCTGCCTCCATCAACCAGAAATAGCAGCCTTTATGAGGAAGGACTACTCTGGTCAGGGGAAAGTGTGTTAAAGCCTTTGTAGCACAGGCCCATGTCAAGTGACTGGGACAACCTTGGAGACAGACCAAATGGAAAGGCAACCCGTCCCCTGCCGCAGATGTTTAAGTAGACCAGTAAAACTACTCTCTCTGTTTTTGCCCCATTTTCTGCATTCTCCACCTGCTCTGCCATCTGGACCAAAAATCTAGCCACACTGACACCAATACAAATCCAGAGTGCTTCTTTGAAGCCAGTGGGCTTCTGACCCACTCCCACCAAACCTAACTGGGAGCTGAAGGTGCCTAGTGCCTCACAAACCCCTGGCCGTTGGCAAATCCCTGCCCTTTGTCCAGAGCATCCACTGTACCTTTTCTTCCTACTGCCAAGTGTTCCTCTGGACCATCACTACATCCCTGAGGACATACCAGGCAGCATGGTGAGAGACAGGGGACAAGGTATGCTTGGCAGGAACAAGCAGTTAAGAAAGGACAAGGACAATATATCTGCTCAGAAGAGGTCCTGTGGCCTGACTCAGATTTGGCTGGAGTCAATGGAAAGGTCCCCATAGGCACTCATGGGAAGAGCATCAGTTCGTTCAATGATACATGACTTGACTGGCCATGAGCCCAGTCCTGAAGTCGTTGCTCACACAAGTGGAGGCAGGTCTGCAGGACTGAACCCTCCCTGAGGAAACCCCTCTGTGACAGGTGGAAGAGCAACTGCTAACTCGCAGGAGGGACAGCAGCAGGATACTCACTTTGACAGACTCTTCTTGAGTTTTAGGCCTTGGTTGCTGCAGTCGGACAGGCGGTCAAGGGGGGACAGCGTCCTGATGGGAGGCACGTGGCTGTCGCTGCCATAGGAAGGCAGCATCCCTGACCCATGACCGTCACCCAGCACGTGAAGCGGAAGGGCTGCCGGGGAGGGAGTGAGGGGCCCGTTGAGAGCTTCCAGCAGAGAGACCACCTCATATCCAGGAGGGATGTTCTCAGAAGACTGCAGGGAGCAGACAGGCCACAGAACATGCAAACGCCTCATTTTTCAACAATATACCTTCTGCTGTTGGCAGGGAATGGCAAGGCAGTTCACTCCCCAAGGGGGACTTGAATGTAAGTGGGGGTGGCTGTAAAAGCACAGAGCTGACACAGCTGATTAGAGGGAGGCCAAGAACAGTTAAGGTCTGGGCCAATTTCCAGCGCACCCCTACAAAGCACCTGCAGCCCTGATAATAATCCACTCATCAGTCCCTACTAGCTTAGCCCTGGATTTCCCACCACATGCCATGCGCTTGATCCTGGATATCGGACAGACTTGCCATTACCATTACACTGGTGACAGGAATATGCCTCTGTGTGCTACCACCCTGCTAGGGACCCGTGAGCCATTTCACATCACAGCGACTGCATTACAGCTCTAACTTCCCCAGTCAAGGCTTACCGAGTGTTCCTCCGAGTCTGACGTTTGGGAGGCAATGATGGGGTTGAAGCTAGTGGGAGACAAGGGGCCGAGTTTCTTCCTCATTGCACGGATCTGAAGCAAGGCTCTAAATGCTGCAAAGCAGTGGGGGGGGAAGGAATCAAAATAAATGTCTAATGCAACAGAACAGGAGACTCCAGGAAGAATTCTTAGGTGTTTCCACAGAATTGATTTGTCTTAATCTAGCCTCCAGGAAGCAAAAACCTGGGGATGTAAGTGGAGGTGTCTGTACTTGTCAAGCATTCAAGGCTTTGCATTTTATTGTAATTTTGTGGGCAACCTGCAAAATTTCAGCTTTTCTACTCTAAGCTATAGCATCTTTGGTGGAAAAAAAATGACTGTTTTCACTCAGAATGGTCCCATTTTCAGGCAAGGAACACTGACATTTTCAACATTTTGAACTTCTGAAATTTGGGTCAGCCAAAAGTTTTTTGCCCCAGAACTTGCAAAAAAGGTCTAAGCGGGACATTTTACATGCAGGCCTCAACATCCTCATATTTCATTGCACATTGCAATAAAACAACACAATGAAATGGGGGATGATGAAGGATGAAAAGTGATGTTAAAGAGTTTTGTTCAAAGCTCCTATTATCTTCAATCCTTGATTATGATGCCCATCTCAGGGCACCAGCATTTCTAGTACAGCAAGAATCCTTGCTTGATTTCAAAACTTGCAATGAGCACTGTTCCTAGCCAACAGTTAAGAGCAACTGGCCTTTGTTCCCCAGAAACAGGCCAGTTATAGCCAACTCCAACCTTGCATACTGAGTCATCACCCAAGTAGTTTAAATGAAGCCAAAGGCTTTCATGTTGGACCTAAGGGGCAAAATGGAAGATTGATTTCCCCAAATTAGAGAGTATGACTGCTCGGACAATGACCTCCGACCTCTCTAGGACTTGGTCCCTTCCACCATGCACTCCCCAAGTCTTACGCAGCCTGCAGATGGGGCAGTTGTTGGCCTGGTAACGCAATGTATCCGCACACGTGTTGCAGAGGCAGAGGTGCCGGCAGGGTAGAATCAAGGTGTCCCGGACGTCCGAGAGACAAACGACACATTCTGCGCTGTTATCGCTCACCTCGTCCTCGGCAACCTGGGCAGGAGTGGCAAAGACATGCCTGAAACAGCTGGCATCTCCATCCCATGGCCCAATTGCAGGAGTTGCCATGTTGCCCTTGGAATAGTAGCTATAGTAACCCAAGCTTGCAGGGCTCTGGAGGACTCCTGTTCTGCAGTGGGTCAATGGCCCATGGGGGTTCAGAATGGGGGTGGAGGCAGCTCACCTTATCCTTGTAATCTGTTACTCTCCAAACAGGCTGGGAGTCCCTGAGGTGCTGTGCTTGGGTCCCACCACCCCCAGTGCAGCTTCCTCCAAGTCTAGACCTGCACCAGTTTCACAGCATCTAGGACCCTTGGCAGTCATTAACTTACCCCTTTCGGTCATGATAAGCCATTTGGTAGGAAGGCCAGTGGAAAAGCAAGCCAGTGCTTTGACTTGTTACCCTCCAGACACCTGGATTCCAATCTTTAGGGAACATGAGTTTGAAGCTCTCTTCCTATAGCCTGCTGCTATTTTTGGTGGTTACTAGTTTCACAGTCATGCCATCCTTTGCTATCTGCATTCAGAAGCCATCTGATATTGTATCAGACTGAGGGGAGAGTGACTGCCAGCCTTTACTGCTGAGGAGATGAGGTAGGCCTGGAATTGCAACTGGTTTTGCCAGTCAGCATTGAGGGACACTGGCAGAACTGTATGGGGAGCCTAAGACTGGAACACCTGAGTTACCTGGAGCCTGCCACGGAGGCATAATAGCAGCTCCGAGTAAGGGAAGCTACTACACAAGTCCCTTGCACTGTGCTATAAATCCTTGACCGCTATGAATACTAAACATTTCCTATATTAAGTGAGAAGAGAGGAGGAAGTCAAACAAAATTAGCACAAGGATTGTGTGCTTGAAAGGCATCTCTATTTCAAATCAAGGAGAAGGGCACTGAGGAGGGACTTTTTTAGGCCCTGCTTCCTGCTTTCCATTTCCGGGAGCATCATCCTTACCTTGGAGTCCTGTGTGTTGTATTTGTTCTCAATCCCGTAGATTTCCTGAAGAAGGTAACTAACGCCATCCACCTGGAGATGCCAATAGGGGGAGAGCACATGAGGACAGGACACAAGGCAATAGATTCAAATGACAGCAAAGGAGATTTAGATAAACTGTCAGGAAAACCTTCCTAAGTGTAAGAACAAGTAGGACACCACAATAAGCTGCTCAGAGAAGCAGTGAAATCACTTTCCTTGGAGGCTGCCAAGAGGCTGGAGCTATTTGGGATGATTTGGGAATATCACATCTTTCATTTGTGCAGAGTTGGACTAGATGACCCTTGATGTCCCTTCCATCCCAGTAATTCTAAGTGCAGAGTAAGCCTCTGTATGCCTCTAACAAGCCTGTTTCAAATGCTCATGTGGGAAGACTTCTTCCTAAGCTCTCTTCCCTACCAAGTATTCGAGTCCCCCCTCAGTCTCCCAGAGCTCTGTCCCACACAGGGAAAAGATTTTTTCTATGCCTGTCAAATCCATGCTGTGGAAAGAGTACCTCAGCCTACCAATGATCCTGCCAGACTCACTGTTCCTCACAGATTCAAGTTCTTGTCCATGGCAGCTCTGTTCAAAGCTGTCAGCAAGGAGCAGTGGACCTCCCTTCCTTAGCAATGTGTCAATATGAGCTAATCATAGTCCCAGGCACACTCACCACTTGTTTCTGCTTGAGGGGCTTCACACAAATGCTGCCATCTGCATGCTGAAATAAAAAAGTGGTGCCCAGAGTCAGCACAAATCAACAAGAGACCTCAGGGGCAGCTCAGGAAACAGTAGAGCTTTTATCTAGTATACAGTAATATCTATAATTAAGCACCTGGACACAATGGTCCACAGTGATCCATCAACTGAACTTCTGTCAAGGTGGGTCCTTCTCTATGCATTTAAACACTGGCTGATCAATATAAACATGGATGGGTAACATAGAAATACATCACATAAAGGCAGATCTAGGGGTGGTTCAATGGACCAAAGTTTGTGGACAGAACTAGTGTCTCATACGCAGCAACTTGATCAATATTCAGGCAAACAAACAAGCAGCCAACATCCTTGGAGGTGCTCAGTGACTTGGAAAAGTCAGGCATCTTGCACCGTCTGGGACTGGGTGCTTCCTTTCAGTTTCCATGTTTGGCACTTTTGCCCTGTACATGCTGATGTCCCATATACTCTGGAAAGACTGGGCTTAAATGGGCCACTTCACTCCAAAGGGAAGCAGGATGGAAACTCACCTTCTCAAATGTTGCTAGCAGCACGTGGCAGTGGCCGATGTGCTCTGCAAGACACAAATGGGATAGGGGTGAGAGTTAGAAGGGAAGATGACCTCTCCTGTTGGGATAGCTATGTCCATGTTTGGGGGGTTACTGGTATAGCTGTGTCAACTAAGCGACATGATGCTGTCACCCCTTTGGCCAAAGTAGCTAGGCCAGCAAACCTCTGTAGTGCAGACTATCCTTTGGTCCTTGCCCCAGCTCCCCTCAAGGAGAACTACAGTGAGCTGTGCTGGGCAAGGAGACTGCTTGCAGGGAAGTGCAGTGGGAGAAGCAGATGGGACCAGAGAGTGGCAAGTCTTTCAATAAATAGAAGACGTTAGGCTGCCCATAACCCAAAGACCATCAGGAGGACATGACTGAGCTCTCCTCAGCTCCTACAGATGGGAGATGACACAAGATCAGGGTACGTTCATCTCTTGGCCTCTCACCCCAACTGCCCTTTAAAAGTTTATATGTCAAGCAAAGGAGAGTCTTTCTTAGGGGTCAGGAAAATGCCTTTTAATAAAGGGGCCCTAGAAGTCTGGGCAGATGCCAGCAAATGCTGGGACTCTGGTGAGAGCCTCAAGAGATAAGGGAAAAGGCTCATGATCAGACACTGGGTACACATGGCACACTGTACTAGTGCAGCCTTGGCCTGCTGTCCCAGTGAGACCTGCACCCACATGCCAGAAACTATCCATGTGCCCAGTGGAAGGACGGATGCCTGCTAAGAGCCTTATCTGGGTTTGGTAAAGTGTAACCAGGTTATCGAGTGACATCGAGCGACCTTTATCAAAGCTGAGGACAAATATTTAAAGGTCAAGACACAGGGTCCCCATTTGGAGCATGGGAGAACTGCATTTCTTTGTGCTCAGAAAGGGCAGCCTCGTCTGCTAGGACTATGAGAATCAGTGGTATGGGGCTACCGTGGTACGATGGTGAATCAACAGAGCGAATACTACAATGTGGGCACCAGCATGGATACGGATTCCACCTGTCTCCACACAGAGCCAAATCCTGCCAAGGACTAAGCCTGGTGACAGCCTTCTGATTTCAGTGACAGAAAAAGGGGTTCAAAACCCCATAGGCTGAGTCACAGCCCGAGGCAGGTCCAGTCAGGACCACAAAGTCCATCACTGGGATAACGCACCTGCTAATGCAGTGGTTTACTGGTTTTTAAACTTTCTCAAGTCACAGAACCCTTTCGCATATCTTCTTCTGCCATGGAGCCCTACTCCCATCCTGAAGACTGAAGTGGAGCCAGGCAACCCAGCCCAACAATGGTGGTGCGCTGCCTCCTGGCCAGGACCAGATGAACGCATAGGCAAACTAGGCACATGCCTAGGGCCCTGAGCTGCAGGGGGACCCTGGTCCTTCCCTCCGCAGCAGCGGCATGAATGGCCTTGTCTGCCTCCCTTCCCTTCCTCTCCCCTCCACTGGCCTTGCTGCTGCGGTGGCCGCTTCCTAGCAGTGGCTCCGAACCGCACTCCTCATGGGGGGCAGCACCAAGGTGGGGAGGAGGGTCTTGACTGGCTTGGGGCCCACAAGTTTGTTTGCCTAGGGCCCATTAAAGGGTTAATGTGGCCCTGCTCCTGACCTGCTCTGCCATTACTCCTGGGCTCTTTGCAAAATCCTCGATGACCTATCATGGAACCCAGTTTGAACACCACTGTACCTTCACATTTCTTTTCTTTTGATTTGGGCTGCTATGGGCCTGACCCAAAGGTTATCAGAATTAGAGGGAAGGTTTTGCTGACTGCAGTGAGCTTTGGACCAAGCAGTAGAGAGAATGGCCAAAACATGGCCTTCTGGTTTGGCCAAAAACACCACCATTGTGAAATGTCATTTCATCCCAAACTGGGAAGGAGAGGAGGACCCTGTTACCTAGGGATCACAGTGAACCTACATGTCCTCTCTGCAGCAGGAACAAAGCAGACCTGCCCTTCCAATTCTGGGCTGGCTCTTAGCAGCAGAGGGGACAAGGTACATGAGTAAAACCTAGAAGCTCCTTGGCAAATAGCAGGGTGCCTTGTTGAAACACAGAGGCAGCCAGAGGACAAGCAGGGCTGGGCTGGGCAGCATTAAAGTTTATCTGTGTCAGGGCTCCTGTAAAGAAAACAAACCCCTTTTAATTCCAAGAGGAGGCTCCTACCGTCTCCCTCATCCACCACAGCGTGCACCACCATGGGGTACACCTCCCGGTCCAGATCAAAGCCCAGCTGGGAGGAGACAAAGAGAGAGGAAAACAAGACATCAGGAAGAGGCTAGATCCTCTGCTACCAAAACTCAAAGTTACTTTATCGATTTCAACAGAGCCAAGTCAACTGACTCCAGCTTCGCACTGATCTGTGCCAGCTAGCCTGGTGGTATAAGTGGAACCACACAGATTCCCCCAATTTGCAATCTACCCTCTCAGGGGAGCAACTGAAAGCCAAGGCTGGTTTGTAGCACCTTCTCCCCAGTGCTTAGGCTCCCGATGAGTCATGCCCTATAAAACCTAGAGGTACCAACATGTTAATCCTGTATTCACTCCAAGATGGAGCCAACAAATAGATACTCCACTCTGCTGCCCTACGGCATGGGGCACGGGACACGGAGACACGGCAGGGCAGGAAAGGCAGAATCCTGTCACCGGAGTGGGCACTGCTCCCTCCCTCAAGGACCTGCAGTCCATAGGATCATAGGAAAACAGGGCTAGAAGGGATCTCACATAGTCATCTAGTTCAGCCCCCTCCTCGAGGCAGGATCACCCATGACTAAACCATCCTAAGCAAATGTCTGTCTAATCTGCTTTTGCAAATTCCCAGGGATGAAGAGTCCCAAACTCTTTAGGGCTAGAAACAGACATTTCATTTGTCCCCGGACAAGCTGCTCCTGTGTTTGTCTCGGAACAAAAATATCCCACACCACACTTCTAATTAGGGTTTAGCGAGTGGCTGAATGCATCGCTGCTTTTCTGCTATTGATTCAATGATGCAATCCCAGGATAATCAGTCAGACGCACTGTGCTCTGTTCCAGGATAAACTGTTAGTTTTTCCTATCCCTTGAACCTTTTTAGGATTAATCCCAGGACCATGGATGTCTGAATGACTGCACTTTGTATTGGGGTCAAATGGTTTATCCCAGGACAAATGCAACAAATTTAGCCTAGGCAGCCTGTTCCAATGCTTAACCAGCCTCATAATCAAGAAGCTCTTCTGAATTTCCAACCTAAATTTCCTTTGCTGCAGTCTCAGACCATTGCTGCTAGCCCAGTCCTCCACAGGCACAGTGGAAAGCCTATCTCCATCCTTTTTAAAACCACCCTTCAGGCATTTGAAGACTGTTATCAAATCCACCCCCAAGTCTTCTCTTCTGCAGACTGAATAACCCTAGCTCTTTCAGCCTGTCCTCCTAAGTCACGCTTCCCAGGCCTCTAATCATTTTTGTCACTCTCAACTGGACTCTTTCCGGTTGCTGATGTCTGGAATATTTTAAAGTGTCAATTTCAGTTCCATGCCTTGTTAAAGCTCCCTCATTTTTTACTGTGCATCCTACAGTGAAGAACAGGCTGCTTCCCATTCCTTCACTGCAATAGGTTCAGAAATGTGCTGGCTCCCTCTTGCTGATCCACCCTGTTTGGACATGACTCTCTCACTGTGGATCTAATGAGGATGACATAGTTGCCAAGCCCCTGGATCAGTTAGCAGCTGAAAAGGCAACTTCTAAAACCAGATTTTAATTTTCCTATTGAAAACAACGGCCAAAAAAGCACAACCCCTATTTCGGCTGTTCAAATGCAATGGGATGAGAGCCCTGATCCATTCCAGGCTTTTGGAAATGCTCCCCTGAGCTCTTGAGATTTCAGGAGCTCTGAAGGGTTCCCCAGGACCCTACTGTGGCTTGTGGATTTTGACTGATGCTACTGAACATCTCAACCACTTGGCCATTCCTCCCTCTTCAGTCCTTCAGATTTCTGAGACTTGCTTTCCAGGCCCCTCCTCTCAGTGTGCCACTGCTGTCCACATCTCATTCACTTGTGTGCACTCTCTCTTTCCCTGGAATGGGCTGGGAGCTGCTCCAGATCACAGCAGAGTGCATGCAAACCAATGGGAATCACCAGGTTAGGTCCAGGCAGAACCCTAGCTAGCTGGGTTGACTGAGAAGAGCTGACAATCTGCTGCCAAATGGCTTCATGCCAGGCTTGGCTTACCTCCTCTTCTGTCCACTCTGAGGGATCAACGGTGTGAGAGGGTAAGCAGAACTGCTGGCATACCCCTCGCTTATAATGGACCGTCTCCGACTGCAAGCTGTTGTCTTTGGGGATGTAACTGCCAAGCAGAGAGGAAGACACATCACTGCATTTTCAATATCCTTGTCTCAGTTTATCAGCTCTCCCCAGCAGGGAGCACTCTCTGAAACACCAGAGGAAGAGAAGCCACCCCTCACTCATTTTTTTATACAACGCCTTGGTCTGACCTCAGTCCTGGTCAGCCCCCACTCAGGATGGCTGAGCCAGGGGGTTCTGTGAAGTACACCAGCTATTTCAGGCCTGTTTTCAAACATCCCACCAGCTGTCCAGGGCAGTGAAATATTAACATGCAACCTGTGCCCACAGCAAGGGCATGATGCCCTGTCAAAGCTAACAGCTTAGCCCCAGCAGGGCAACCTGCTTAAATGCCTCCACCTCGATTCAGGAAAACCTTCAAACTTCAAAACCTTCAATTGAGTGTCTCTGAGTCCATGCTCCCCTTCCCCTATGTGCTGTCAGCAGAGATGCAAGAAAAACAAAAACTTCTTCTCACATCTGCAAGGGAGTGGAAGGAAAAATGAGTGAGGCAGTTCCTGACTCCTTGACTTGTTGGAGGGAAATAAAGATTAAGATGTGCTGGACTGGTCAAGGCTCCTGGAGGAGGGGCATGACAGACTTAAGCCATCCAACCAAACCTAACCCTTGAATCCCAGGGCCTTGATTCCTCTGCTAAGGAGCACAGAGAAGCCATCTTTGTCTTCAACAGGCAGCAAATGAGAACAGGATGAGACAGGAGCCATCTCTGACCATGCTTCCCCAGAGCACTGGGCTTATCACTCCTTTGAGCAGCAGTGACTGAGGGAGGGCTGTGGCTGTGAGGGAAGCCATCCCACCAAGGGCAGGAGGAAAACCTTGCTCATCATTGGTCCTCTCTTGTTGAAGGGTGACGTACCCTAGCCTGTGCCTTCCCCGGACTTCTCACCTTGCTATTCCATTCTGGAACTCTTCAGTAGCTTGGTAATAGATGGTGATGGCCACCCGTGCATCGGTGTCAAACGTGAACTCCACGTTGTAACGGACCTTGGCTTTGCTCACTTCCTCCCCAGGGGTCTTCACTTCCTCTGTACACCTGGAAAAGCAGGGGAGAAAAGGACTTCACTTGGATCCAAGATCCCATTCAACAACCTGCCCCCCCACAGTGAAAAGCTTGGGTTCAAGGTGACCCTTCAGAGGCAAAACTTCCCTTCAGAACTGGGAAAGCCAGAAGGGATGGAGCTCCAGTGAGCCACAAGCTGGACTGACACTCGCCTGGCAATAAATCCTGGATGTCAGTAAGAACTGCAGACATCAGCACTCGAAGGACCACAGTGGAGATGGAGCAATAACCCATTACATAAATATTAATGCTGCATAGCAAAAGGACAAGGAAATGAACAAATCCTCCTCACCTACCAATGAAAACCAGCTTTCCCTCTAGAAGAACTATCCCATCAGTGTGATGGAAGAAGCTTCTTTTGCAAGTGAGGAGGGCAAGAATCAACTTCAGAGAAGAGGTCTAGTCAGGAACCAAAAAGTTTAGAGGGCTATGAATGAAAACACATGAGCAGCCCCTAGCTGCAGTTTTACAAGCCAGAGCATAGCCATGTGGAGGGGACCCAGTATATTGCAACTGGGGACTTCGGCAAAGGACCTGTGGAGAGATGGGAGTTGGCATATTCTTGTCGGCCAGCAGAAAATGACTCCTGTTGGTGCCACTTACATGGCTGCTGTAGAAAAAGAAGCTCGAGTCCTAAAGATAGGATCACTCATATCCTTCTTAATGAAAACTTGGCCCTTCAGTTCTGGTAAACACAGAGACAGTACGAGCAGACAGTAGGATGACATGGTGGCCAGGGAGATGACTGGAACTCCGATGGGGGTTCAGTCCCTGACACTGTCATTGACTTCTTGTGTTACCCTGGAGAAGTTGTTTAACTTTTTTTGTGTGCCTCAGTTCCCATTTGTCCAACAGGAATAATAGCACCACCTCACTTCTCTTCCTACAACCCCCTGTAAGGTGAAGTACTGGACCATGTGGTGATGATAGCCACGTTAGTACCAAAAATAGGTGCAGGTGCCATGGGGCACAGTACTGATGTCAGTTTAGGCTGACTCTTAACATAAGCAGAGTTATACCACTGTACATGAGATCCGAGTCCTGCCCCGTGTCCTTAGGAGAATTAATCACCACTTTGCCCTCCTGCAGGTTGTCTGGCCCCCTCCTCTCCTCCTATGCCGAGCTCTCTGGAGCCTGTGCTAGGAGTCTGGCTTATTTCTGATTCATTAGTGAAGCTGTTTGCATTTTGACAAACAGGCTCTTTCACCATCAATTCCAAATTGCTCTTTTCCATCTCCAGCCAGATCACTGTTGTGCTGCTCCTGGGCGCTAGCACAGACAAATGGGACAGGCGGCTGCACGGGAGGTAATAATCAATGGATGAACAGGCAAACACAGCAGGCAGAAGAAATGCTGCGCACAGAGGACTTTGAACAGCACCAGTTTTGCACAACACACCACACTGGGGAAATGGTTCTGAACATTTTTTATCTGGAAATTTGCAATCTACCCTCTCGGGAGCAACTGAAAGCCGAGGCTGGCTCGTGGCGCCTTCTCCCCAGTGCTTAGGCTCCCAATGAGTCATGCCCTGTAAAACCTAGAGGTACAAACACGTTAATCCTGTATTCACGCCAAGATGGAGCCAGCAAATAGATGCTCTGCTCTGCTGCCCTACAGCCCCTTTCATCTTTAGAACTCAAAGCACGTCCCAAGCTCTGATGGACTAAGCTCCGACACCCTGACCCCACTCCCCCCAGCGTGGCAGGTAACTGTTACATCCTGCACTGAAGCAGATAGGGAAAACTGAAGCACGAAAGAGGAGCTCTCTCTTCCAGAGGTCACAGGGCCAGTCAGAGGCAGAGCTGAAAATAGAAGTCAAGTTCCCGCTTCCATTAGTTTCCGCTAATGACTAGGTCACGCTTCCAGTCTTCCTCCTAATAAAGCCATTTGCTAAAGAAAACCAACTTCAAAGGCAGCATTAAGCTTCATTTAATCCTCCAGGTCTCAAGAGTGTGAGGGCAGAATATGGAAATGAAGACACATTTCCACTGCTTGCAAAGCGGGTTCTAATCAGCATTGAAATCCTCATGCTCTGGGAATTAGGATGGAGGGAAGGGAAGCGAAAAGAGTCTATGAGAAAGCTATCATCGCTCACACCTTCCCCCTTGCCAAATCAAAGGCTAATGCTGCCAGTGCCACTGTTTCCATCTAAACTCAGCTTTTTGGCAGCCATAGGGTTAGAGGAGCTGCTCTGGGAAACCCCGTCTTCTAGGCACTTCTTTGGTGGGTCCCTCTGGCACGTGAACATGGAAGGGCACACGGCAAAGGTTCATCCCCTGGCCCACATCTGTCTTGCTTTCATGAGCATCATGCTCTGCTCCATGTGCCCAGCTATCAAGCTCACTTCTCCATTTCCCTCACTCTTGCTTCTTTTCTTTTCCTTCTCTCCCTTTTGCTTTGCTCCTTTTCCTCTCTCCCTCCATTTGCCTAGGATGGCCATCCAGGGACAGCGCACCTTTGTTAAAGCCTCCTACCTGGGTGCCCTACTCCATATTATCTACCACCATGTTCTCGTGGTTGGGGGGCTGGGGGTGTCTCTTGCCACCCGGCCCATGTTCCACTGCTGTGCTGCTGAGTTGGGGTAACAGCAAGCCCAAGGCCTCATCTGAAACCACTTCCAAGGCTTCTGTGACTTGAGAAGCCAGGGAGGCATCAGATGCTCACATTTTCAGACGCAATCGTTAGGCATGCAGAAGATGCTACGTGGCAATGGGGTCCGGCGTATACATGATTTGTTGGCACAAGGCAACAGAGCACGTGGTCTTTTGTAAGGTTCCAGCAGGCAGGAGGGATGCAGATGAAACCACAAGGGAAGGGAAAAGGGAACCTTTGTAGCTCATCTCGCAGAAAGGCTCATACCGGCCTTAGTAGGTCACTTCCTGCCTCCGGTCCTGAACTCTGTGCTGCTGCATGTCATTAGGTTCCAAGTGATGGCTCCCAGGCAGCAGCAGGAGCAGGATTAGCTCAGGCTCGTTCCTGCTGTCACCTCTAATGACGCTGCAGATCAACCAGGGAAGTGAAAAATCCAGGAGGTAGACAATCCTGGCAAAGTCCAGACGTTAGGGGGCATCTCTGTGTGACAGCATGATGCAGCCAGCTGCTATTCATCATCAGTGGCTTCACTAAGAACACGAAGAGCTCTATTTTCATGTGAGCTCTATACCTCTGCGCACTAGTTTCTCTTCACTGACCAGGTCCCTTTCTAGCTCTGTGCTCACCTGGACAAGCAGGTAGGCACAAAGCTCCCCTTAGAGGTGGTTTAGGATACTGGCACACAGGTGGTACCACCACTGGTACTGTGATGCTGAACACTGGACTGTGGTTCCCAGTCCAGACTGGCCCGTACAACCTACCACTTCTGGGAACGTGGACTTACTTGACAAGGCGCAGGGTGTCTTTGCGGATGTTGATTAAGCTTCGGAGTGTCTTCACTGGCTCCTGGGGGGGCGGGGCGGCATACGGAAACTGGGGTTCAACAAGCAAGAGAGAGAGGCACAAATTAATGGAGTTTTACAAGAACTATCATACCACATTGATCAAAAAACTCCAACACCAACCACTTCTTCAACAGGAGACAGCCCCTGTGTTATGTTAGGGAACCCCAGACTTCAACTCTGCCACCTCTGGCTCCACATCAGATGCCAACATTGTGCCCCTCCCAAAAAATGTTATGAGATTGGCTTAAAAGTCATGAGATGAAAAATATATAGTAATAAATGTAGGGGCTTTTTATTTGCCTTTTGGTTATTAGACTTTCCAAGTCCTGGTTTCCAGTTTTTTCTCCAGCCACAAGGCCCAGGCATTTGCCATATGTTCTTGCATACAACCCACACCTCCTTGTCCTGCAAAAACCCAGCTGCTTGGGACTGGAGAGTGCTTTATATGCAAGGAAATATGGTAAGAGTTGCTTCTGCCACTCATGGGCTAAAAGCAAAAGGTAAAGTCTGCCCGGGGAGCAGAACAAAGAGTTCAAGGTCCCCAGCTGCTGTTATGCAAATACTTACTGCAAGAGCCTTTTTTCCCCTTCATTATGCTTTTCAAAAACAATATGTTTTATTCCAGGGGGTGTCACATGTGAGAAAATATGGTATTCTAATTGGTACGTAAAAGCAGAGCATCTCAGCCATCACATGCCTGTAGAGGCAGGGCTTTATGGAAAACCCACCAAATATCTCAAGATTGCAGACAACAGAGTGAGACTTGGCTGCGTTCCCACACCCCTGACAGATTCCCCAACAGAGCTCTGTACAGCTGCTGACACAGGGGACACAACACCGCACTCTGTACCTGTGCCCCATCCCATGATGGAACATCCTCCACCACCCATCACCGCGTGGAACCAAATCAACATGCCCCAAACTCTATCAATGGCACTGGTGCTGGAGCTGGTCAAGCAGGCCTGATCCTGCCTGCAGCTGTGCACTGTTTGTTCTCAGTGACTCTCCGGGAGCAGAGAGCCCTCTGCACCTCACTGGATTGGGGCCTTTGCTCTATAATTCCTCATTTGAGAGGAACATGCCAAAGCCCAGGGGAGCAGAACATGGCTGTACGGTTTCGAGGTCTAATCCAGTCCAGGCAGGTCAAGATGAAGCAGCATCCTGTGTTGGCCACACCATAGGCTGTTGCTCAGGATTGGGCCTCTGCTCCCCAACTATCCAGCTTTGCATCATACACACAGACCCTATGGATGAATCTCAGTGTGCGTCACCACAGCAGTGTCTGCAGTCCAGCTCCCAACATGCTTGGTGCCAGGGAAAGGAGGAGAGCACCCAGGACTCACACCTCTGCATAGGCCATGGATTCTTCTGCAGGATTTTAATCCCCAACAGCCTTGCCCAAGTGGCCAGAGTGCTATCAGCTGACCTCTGGGAGCATGGTGGGGGAGAGGGAGGGGACTGCTTAATGGCTTGAGGGTCTTGGTAGCACAAGCATCCAGCATCCACTCCCAGGGCCCTCTCAGAGAGGTACCGAGTACTTCTCCCTCAGCATCTCCCAGGATCAGGATTTCTGCATCTCTGAGGACCAAGCTCTTAGCACATTTCCTGGTAGCACACCACAGCCTCTGGTCTGTTGGAGACCATCAAGCGTCTGGCAGCAGACCAGCTGAGACTGCATGTTCCCTGAAGA